CATCTTGCCTAGGGCGGGGGAGTCTAGTGTGTCTACCCTCTCTACAAGTCACCCGTCAGTCACTTAGTCTCTGTGGTGGTTTGAAGGGGAATGCTGCCCATAGGCTCATATATTTGCATCCCCAGCTGATGAACTGCTTGGAAGGATTAGGAGGTGTGGCCTGGTTGGACTAAGTGTGATCTTGTTGGGGAGGTGTGTCACGGGGGTGGCCTTTGATGTTTCCAAAGCCCATACCAGGCCTAGTGTCTCTCTCTGCCTGCTGCCTAGCGAGCAGGACATAAGGCTCTCAGCTACTGCTCCAGTGCCATGCCTGTCTGCTTCCTACCGTGAGGACAATGGACTAACCGGAAACCGTAAGCTTTCTTTTATAAGAGAAGCCTTGGTCATGGAGTTTCTTCATAGCAACAACAGTGACCAGGAGAGTCCTGTGTCCATCACTGGGTCCATTGCAGAATTGCTGAGCTTCTCTTTTAGCAAGCCTCCCCATACAGCCTCTGCCCTTCATCTCACTCCATCTTGCCCATAGACATTACATCATTTCATGTTCTCACGGCAAAAGGGGAAAGAGCAGTCCAATGAGCTATGTTGACAGCCCCCCCCTCCCCGCCGTGGGTGCATTTGCACTTTTACGTGTGTGCTTACGTGTAGGGAGAGACCTAGAAACCTGTGCTGCTGACCACATCCGTATGTACCTGTACCCATGCCCCAAACAGGCGTGGCCAGTGGCACAGGTGCCTAGGTCTCTCCCTACACTTAACGTGTGTGGAGGCCAGAGGCTAAGCTTAAGTATCATTTTTCAGGATTTATCATCCTTGTATTTTGAGAAAGGGCCTCTCGAAGGCCTGGAGCTCCCCAAGTAGGATAGACAGGCTGGCCAGTGAGCTCAGAGATCTGCCTGCTTTGGTGTGCCCAGCACTGGGATTACAAGGGCACACCATTATGCTTGGGTTTGTAATGTGGGCTCTGGGGATTGAACTCAAGATCTCATGCTTGCAAGGCAAGTACTTTACTAATGGAGCTGTCTGGTCTGTCGTCTTTCTTTGTCATAATTACGGATAAGTTCAGTAACCTTCTCCCTAGACAGATCCACCCAGCCTCCTCTGAGGCAGGCCCTACTCTGTGTCGGGGCAAGCACTTTACTGATTGAGTTACCTCTCCGGCTCTGCCACTTAACATTTGGTTTATTCTGTTTTATAATTAGTTGTTATCACTGGTTTCTTACTTGACCCAGCTGGCAAATTAAACTGTGTGTGTGGGAAAAGCCATAGTATACGGAAGTTCAGTTCGGCAGTTGCTTTTGCAGACATCCTCTAGGGGGGCTGTGGATAGAGAGAATGTCCTCCTCATCTACAAAACAATGTCGTACTTTGCATAAACACAGCGTCTCAAGGTGGATTTCTAGGAAAAGGCCTAGAGGGATATAATGGGTTCTCAGCCCTGTCGTCTCACTGGGGATCAAAGGAGGTGTTTTGGTGAACTTTAAATATAAAGGTTAGATTAAATATAATGGTTAGATTTTTATTTAGTTAAAAAGACTCTTTTTTATTTAATTATGCATTTGTGTGTTTGTGTGTGAGTATGTATTCTTGTGTGTGCAGGTACCTGTGGAGTCCAGAAGAGGGAGTTGGATTCCCTAGAGCAGTAGTTAAGGCAGTTGTGAGCTGCCCAAGATGAGTGCGGGGAACTGAACTTGGGTCCTTTGCACAGACCGTATGTGTTCTTCACCGCTGAGCCATCTCTCCAGTTCCCAATTTTGATATTTTTATGTCTCTCCTGTTACACTGTTCTAAATGGCTTTAGGAGAAGGACAGTTTATTTCACTTCTGGGTCTCTAGCACCAATCCAATGATTGGCATTTACTAAATACTAGTTACGTCTCCGTGCTTCCTGGGATGGGTGGGTGGGGTGCGGGGACTCAGCTGGGTAGAACTCCACTGTGGAACCTGGAGTTTATTTCAAGAAAATCTCTTCTATTGCCTCATTTAAACTCATTAAGCCTCACTTAATCTTTGGAGATTTTAGGGAAGAGGTTGTTTGCCATTTACCAGGGAGAACGATGCAAATTCTTTAAGAAAGTTGACACTCAGGCTTCAGCGATGTCTTCTGTGACCATGGTCACAAGCGCTCCTGTACCCCGGGGGTTTGCCTTCTTAGGAAGCTGGGCCATTTTGGCTTGCCTTCCTTTCAGGCATGTTCTTACTGGGTGAGGATAGATCATGCTAGCTTTATGCCAAGCAGCCTCTGTAGATATGCTTTCATGTTTAGCCCTGTGACAAATGTCCTAGGAACTCCATTAGCCTTTTGTTCCCATGGTCTCAAAGATGGTTCAGAACTACCAAGCTGTCTGTCAGTTGTACTCAGCATGTATTGGCTTTCCTGGGGCCCAGAGCCTTCGGGGATCCAGGGCACTTAACTTCTGAGCCATCCTCTAGCCTGTGTGATTACCTTGCTTTGACTAATGAGCAAAATAATTCTTCCAAATGTCAATGGATCTGTAACCCAGCCCAAATGTCATAGGAAAGGATGGTGACATCTTGGAAAACGTTCATGCCTTGATAGACTTTTGCTATGTCACTCTCGGGTCAGGTCAGGTTCTGCTGGACACTTCATTATCAGGCCACTCCAGTGAGGGTCTGTGTGCAGTTTCCATTCCAATTACCGGGAAACGATTCACTTAAATCATTACAATGGGCATTTGACACGGAACACAAATGCTGGTTTTTGTTTTTGTTTAATTTCTCCCTTCCCCAGAGAAGAGAATCTAAAGAAATGAAAACCTGTTTTCCATCTCCCTCTCCTTTCCCAGTCCAGGAACATTTGAGATGATCATTAATGCTGGGTCATTTCGGACTCGGCCAATGCAATTGTTGAATTTGTGGTTTTGAGCAGATTTGTAGTTTGGCTTTTCATCTTTGACTAATGACTGCTTTCAGGCCTTTGTGGCATATTCATTTCCCTAACATTTAAAATAAATACTGAAGTGTCATGGAAACCGGTGCTGGCTTCTTTCTTGTTCTCAGTGTGTGTCTATTTTGATGGCTTTTCTTTAGTGATGACTTCAGCTGCTGTGAAATAGATACTGACTTTTGCTTTTATGTACATTTGGCTATTACAGCAAGATGATCGACACAGATGGTGAGGGACCTTCCAAGGAGGATTTAGTAGGATAAAAAGCAATCTTTTCATGTATTCATTTATATATTTCTTCAGTGAGCTATACTGAGGCCCTACTGTGCATCAGGCACTAAGACACACACTCAGTTACTGTGGTTGTTGCCATAAAAAACAAACCAATGAATAAAACCTACCTGGGCTGGGTAGCTTGTGACATAATACTAGCTATTCAGGAGGCTAAGGCAGATCATCACTTGAGACCAGGATTTGCTTGTTTTTGAGACACCATCTCTTTATGTAGCCCTCTCTCTACTTAACATTTATTTCATAGGCTTATTTTTTATGTTACGTGTAGGAGTGTTTTGCTTGCATGTATGTGTGTGCACCATGTGAGGGCAGTGGCCCCAGAGGCCGGCATTTGGATCTGCATATGAAAGGGAACATGTGGTGTTTGTCTTTCTGGGCTTGAGTTACCTCACTCAGTGTAATTTTTTCCAGTTCCAAAAAGCAGTGGATGCAACTAAGTAGGTGGTAATGCTTGCTTTACCTGTTTGCGTGCTCTAGGCCCTCATCAAGGGGAATGTTAGCCTCCCCTCTTTCCGTATAACACTTCTTTTCTTTGGAGACAGGGCCTCGCACTAAGCCCATGCTGGCCTGAAATTCATTCTGTTGTCTGGGCTGGCCTTGAATGTACGGCCGTCTTCCTGCCTCAGCCTGCCGTGTTCTGAGATTACAGCCATGTAGCCACCTTATCTGGCTTTTCTGGATGTGTGCACACGTATGGTGTATGTGTACGTGTGTTTTCCTGCGCAGCTGTGCAGGTACAGCTGTGTGCACAGACTGGTGGAAGCCAGAGGTCCTCAGTTGCTCTCCATCTTGCTTTTTGGAGACAGGGTCTCTCATTGTCTCCAGAGCTCAAGACTTCTGAGAGACTGGCTGCCCAGCTAGCCCTGGGATCTTTCTGTCTATCTCGTCAGTACTGGAATTATAGGCATGCATCACTATGCACATTTTGTTTAATGTGGGAGCTGGGGATCTGAACTCAGGTCCTAATCTTGTATGATAAATGCCTTACTAACTGAACTATTTCCCTGCTTCATGCCCCTCCTTTACCAATTTTTAATGATTGTATTTAGTACTGGTTATAGGGTTCCTAGAGGACATTCTCATAACATAAAAACTTCAAGTTCAAACCGGGCCCTCTGTTAAAGGCTTTTCAGTGCTGTAGGAAGGTTTATGCACTTTAAGGCATTTTTGAGCTGTGTGGTAGCAGCGCAGGCCTTTACTCCCAGCATTCAGGAGACAGAGGCAGGTAGATCTTTGTGAGTTCGAGGCTAGCCTGGTCTACAAATTGGGTATTAAGATAGCCAGAGTTGTTACACAGAAGAACCCTGTCTTGAAATCTCTCTCTCTCTCTCTCTCTCTCTCTCTCTCTCTCTCTCTCTCTCTCTCTCTCTCTCTCTCTGTGTGTGTGCATGAATGTTTAGAATGTTTAGACACATATCGAAATGATTTAATCTTGTCACAAATACTGTGTGACTGAATACGCTCATTCTCTCAAGGTGAAATGCCACTTTACTGGTCTGTTTTAGAGTTACTTAAAAATATTTATGTGGTTTCATTTCACACACACTTTGCAGTGTGAAATATAATGGTTATAGCACCCAAGGTTCTTTCGGAGGGAGGCTGACCCTGCAGGCTGAACCATCTGGTTCCCTTGCTGACTGGCTTCCCACTGGGCTGTGTGAAAGACAGGCTAAGAAGAAGGAACAAGCTGGGTGTGTGCTTGGGAGGCAGAGGCAGGCTGATCTCTTTGAGCTCAAGGCTAGCCTGGTCTACATAGCGAGTTCCTAGAGTCTCTCATTGCTGTGGGTTTGTCTCTTCAGGAGTATGTGCACCACCTGCTGGTCCTGGAGCACCGTGCTGAGGAGCAGTTTCTGGAACACTGGCTGAATCCCCATTGTAAGCCTCACTGCGACAGGAACCTGGTCCACCCCGTGTAAACCACCCAGGGATGCCTTGGTATGTCCCAGGCCTTCTGTTGGAGAGGGCGACTGTGGGAAGCATGTTCATGGTGGGAAGACTTTCTGGGGCAGTGTGCTTAGGGACCAGGGTGTGAACTGCTTGTTGCTTAAGGGGTGGCAAGGGAGCCAGGCAAGAAGGAAAGTAGAGGAGCCTACTTGTCACCGAGAGCTCCCAGATGGGGTGGGGAATGGTACCTTGCCATCCACCTGCATGCAGTTCCTACAGAGACCAGAAGGGGGCATCAGATCCTCTGGGACTGGAGTTAAAGCCAGTTGTGAGCCACCATGAGGGTACTAGAATTGAATCTGAGTTCTTTAAAAGAGCAGCTCGTAACCGTTGAGTCATGTCTCTGTAATTTCCCCTCCCCCAGTTTGGAGCTCGCTGTGTTGATCAGGCTAGTCTTGAGTTCAAAGAAGTCCTCCAGTCTTTGTCTCCTGAGTACTTAAAGGCATGCACCTCAGTGCCTAGCCCTCTCTGAGGTTTTTACAGACCGAGCAGGACAGAGCATAACTGGATGGTTTATTGTGCGTGGCCACAAGAAATGTTCTCATCTTTGCCACTGCATATTGGATGCTCCCTTCAGAGTGTCAGCCGGTAGTTTGTAGAGCGCTCTCCCAGAAGTTCTGCCATTACCCTAGCGTCATCGATGGCATGCACTTTAGCTGGCTAAAGTGCATTAATGGAGCTCCTCACTCAGACACAGAAAGAGCTGGCATGGCCATCTTCTGATAACTCCCAATCCTGCAAAGTTTACACAGTCTGCTGCTTGGTGCTGTCCAAGGCTTCCCTGGGAGGCAGCCTCGCAGAGGGCAAGAGGATGCTCCCAGAGTGGAAGAGAAGTAAGGCTTGGGCTCCTTCCCTCTTCTGCTCTTTCCGACCCCAGTTCTGGACCAGCTCCTCTAGTGTGCCACGCAGCTCTAGATTTATGTTTAGAGTTGGGCCTTGGCAGCTCCTGCAAGCTAGTTTCAGCTGCTTGCTTCCAATAGGATAAAGACATAATTAATGGAGGGAACTAGAGAGTGGAGGCATTCCATGGGGCCACATAGGGAAGAGGAGCAGAGGTTCAGGGTTCCTTCTCCTGACTTGAGGCGTAGGATTAAGTAGGGGACCAGAGGCGTGCCTCAGTATGTGGCCCTGGTCAAAGCGTGGTCACTCAGTCATCATTGTCTAGGCTCCCGCCTCTTCCCAGCAGACAATTCCTTCTCTTGCAGGCGCTGGGCCTCAGTCTTTTCCTTCTCCTAGTGTGGAACTCCTAGAGAAATACTGATTTCTAAGGCTTTGTGTGAATAGCCTGATAGCCAAAGGGAGGGCCCCAATCTTAAAAACCTGTGTAGACTGGGATGACTTTGAACTCCTGATCCTTCTTCCCACAGCTCTCAAGTACGGAGATTATGGGAGTGTGCGGCCACAGTTGGTTTTGTTCAGTTCTAGGGTCAAATACAGGGCTGCATGCATGCTAAGCAGTGCTCCTGTCTGTCTGTCTGTCTGTCTGTCTGTCAAGCCTAGTGGCAAGTCTGTCTATTTTGTATAGGGTTTTGTCTGCATGTTTGCCTGCAGGTCAGAAGAGGGCATCAGATTTGATTACAGATGGTTGTGAGCCACCAGGTGGTTGCTGGGAATCGAACTCAGGACCTCTGAAAGCGCAGTCAGTGCTCTTAACCTCTGAGCCATCTCTTCAGCCCCATCTAGGCGGTACTCTTAACAACTGAGTTGCATCTTCAGCCCCTCAATTGTCTCCTGAGAATACCTTTATTTCTGCCAGGATGGCTACATACGGACATGCTCCTGACTTCCAGGCTCCATTTCCTCCTTTAAGGGAGGGCTGTGTCTTCTATCATAGAAAACTCTTGTTTGGTTTATTCTGGAAAACAGAACTGTGGGGCCGGGTGGAATGGCTCAGCTGGAAAAGGCACTTGCCACTAGGCTTGATGACTTGAGTCTGGTTCCTGGGACCCACATGATGGGAGGAGAGGACCAATTCCCACAAGTTGTGCTCCTGTCCTCTGATTTCTACATCTGCACTGTGGCATAAGCATGTACATACATATGAATGCACACACACAGATGCACACACAGACACACACAAAGATATACACACACATACACACAGAGACAAACACACACATAGACACACACACAGACACACACACAGACACACACACAGACACACACACACAGAGACACACACACAGACACACAGACACACACACACAAAGATATACACACACATACACACAGAGACAAACACACACATAGACACACACACAGACACACACACAGACACACACACAGACACACACACACAGAGACACACACACAGACACACAGACACACACACACAAAGATATACACACACATACACACAGAGACAAACACACACATAGACACACACACAGACACACACACAGACACACACACAGACACACACACACAGAGACACACACACAGACACACAGACACACACACACAAAGATATACACACACATACACACAGAGACAAACACACACATAGACACACACACAGACAAACACACAGACACACACACAGAGACACACACACAGACACACACACACAGACACACAGACACACAGACACACACACAGACACACACACAGAGACACACACACAGATGCACACACAGACACACACAAAGATATACACACACATACACACAGAGACAAACACACACATAGACACACACACAGACACACACACAGACACACACACAGAGACACACACACAGACACACAGACACACAGACACACACACAGAGACACACACACAGACACACAGACACACAGACACACACACACAAAGATATACACACACATACACACAGAGACAAACACACACATAGACACACACACAGACACACACAGACACACACACAGACACACACACAGAGACACACACACAGACACACAGACACACACACAAAGATATACACACACATACACACAGAGACAAACACACACATAGACACACACACACACATAGACACACACACAGACACACACACACAGAGACACACACACAGACACACAGACACACACACACATACACACACACACACTAAAATTTAAAACAGAATTGTGGAGTAGCTAGGGGTTCACTCTATGGCCAGTGTGGGCTTGAGGCTCTGTGTCTCAGCTCTGTGGCAAGTGACTTCTCCCTTCTCAATTTCAGTTTCTGCATCTACATATTGGGGTGACATTGTCTCTGGGCCTGGTACTCAGTGAGTGACTTATTCAGCAGAATCATGGGATTCCGTCTCATTCCAGACAGCTCCCACATACACAGAGACAAGGAAGTGGTGGTTTCAAGAGCACCCCAGCCTGGAATTAGGAGTCAAAACAGCTTACAGATCCTGAGTCTGAGTCCACTAGTCTCTGGTGGATTGGAAAAAGCTGGCCTGTCTGCTTTCTATTTCTCCTGTAAGATGTAGCTATAGGGAGCCTCTCCTTTTTATTGTCCTCAGGATCCAAATGGCCCAATGGGTCAAGAGGCTTGCTGTGCTGGGTGGTGGTGGCATTTGCCTTTAATTCCAGCACTTAGAAGGCAGAGGCCAGCCTGGCCTACAGAGTTAGTTCCAGAACAGCCAGGGCTGCCCTGTCTTATAAAACCCCCAAAATAAAAAAAAACTAAAAAAACTAAACAAAAAACAACATCATCAAAAAGAGTGCTTGCTGCTCTTCCATAGCATTTGAATGAATTCAATTCCCAGCACTGAGGTCTGGCAGCTCACAACCACCTGTATAACTTCAGCTCCAGGGAAGTCTGACACCCTCTTCTGGCTTCCTGGCATACCTGCCTCCATACACATGTGTGCTTACACAGATACACATATACATAAAGAAAATAAATCTTTCAAAATTGGTGCACACAGAGGGAATTTGCAGGAAGCAACAGCTGGGGGCTCCTTTCTTCTCTTCCACCACCACCACTGCCACTCTAAAATTATTTTCTCCCTTTTTCTTCTCCAGCAAGTTGACAGACTGTGACCCGGAGACTGCTGGGACAGAGAGAAGCTCATCTTCCATTTAATCTGAAACTGTAGACATGAGGTCTTCCGACCTCAGGAACTTGTGGTCCTTTGTGGGCAGGCCAGAAGTGGCCTTCAAGGGACATGACAAATCTATATTCTGCTCTGTTTTACTAACCGGCCCGCATCGTGAAAACTAACAGCTTGAGTCACAGGGCTCCTGAGGCTTTCCTACCAGTTTGCAAGCATAGGCGGGGTCCAAGTCCTCCTAGAGGGATGGATCTGGGGGCTGCACAACAGGCATGGGGCGGGTTGTCTGCACTGGGGACCTTGGGGGTACCCTGCTCAGAAGGGGATGGTATCCCTTGGAGCTGCTGAGTTTTGGGTCATCTGCTTCTTTTCCCCCTCTGCTGCACTAATAAAAGCTGGTGTTTGACCTTTCTGTGTGTCTGTTTTCCTACAAGGAGAGTACTGGGGATATCTTTCCCTTACCCACCTCTGTAAACCCAGTTCCGGATAGTGTAACGCTCTTTGTTATTTTTTCAAAACTTATTTAATGTTGGTTTATATGTGTAAGTGTTTGGCTGCGTGTGTATATGTACACCATGTGCTAGGAGGCCACAAAGAGGACACTGATCTCGTGGAACCGGAGTTAATGGAGTCGTGAGTCACCGTGTGTGTGTGGGGGGGTTTGAGAACTGAATCTGGGTCCTCTGCAAGAGCAGGATGACGTGCTCTTAACTACAGAGCCATCGCTCCAGCCTGTGCTGTTCTTTAAATATATGAATGGACCCTGGTGAGATGGCTAAGTGGGTGACTGTGCCTGCTGTCAAGCCTGGTGACCTGAGTTTGACCCCCAGGACCTACATGATGAGAAAAGAGAACCGACTCCTGTAAATCCCCCCCCACTTCCACAAACGTGCTGTGGCATGCTCACACCCATTCATGGGAATAGATAGACTAGATATGCATGTGATTTAAAAATGAATGGAAAAATGAGCACTTGGCAGTTTTTCACAGGGGCTGCTTTAAAAAAATTTTTTTTGAAAAGAAGGTATTTGCTCAAGATCAACCCAACAGGGCCATAACTCAACATCAAACACATGCCTAGTCTTCTAGCAAAGGTAGCAAGGCAGAGATTTCCCCTGGAAAGCAGGCTGCTTCTCTGGCCACCTTAGTCCTCACCTGTACCCCAGTCCCAGAATCAGAGATTAGCCAGGGGCGTCATCTTCAGTGGTGTCAGGGGTGGGTCTGCCTGTAGGGAGGTTGGGCTGGGTTTGTTTAGTGATAAAGTTATGGAGCCTCTGCATATCAATGGGGAAGAAAGCTGGCAGGACAAAAAATGGAGTCCCTTGTGTCACCTCTAGGAAGACAAAGCAGTAAAAAAGGCAGTCGCGTGTGAGACAGGCAGGCTTCTTACACATGATTGCCTGATAGCAACTGTGGAAAAGAAGTCTAGTAGAACTCAAAGGCCTCTGACACCTCACATAGAAAGTTCTGTAAAGACATTAGCCTCACTCTGCTTAACTTGGGGTTGACGCTACCCTTGTTATTGATCATTGTGACTGAGGGCTATTGATTCATTATGTCTAATGTAATCTTTTTGTCTTGAAAATTCTGTTTGCTTTTTCCTTTCAAAAAAGATCTATTCATTATGTGTACAGTGTTCTGCCTGCATGTTGCCTGCAGGCCAGAGGAGGGCACCAGATCTCATTACAGACGGTTGTGAGTCACCATGTGGTTTCTGGGAATTGAACTCAGGACCTATGGAAGAATGAGCAGTGCTCTTAACCCTGAACCATCTCTTCAGCCCCCCCCTTCTCTCCCTCCCTTCCTTCCTCCTTTCCCTCCTTTCTTTCTTTTTTTCTGAGACAGGGTTTTTCTGTGTAACAGTTCTAGCTGTCCTGTCCTGGAACTCGATCTGTAGACCAGGATGGCCTCGAACTCTCAGAGATCCGCCTGCCTCTGCCTCCTGAGTGCTGGGATTAAAGGCGTGGCCACCACCTCTTCTTCCTTTTTGAACATTCCCACAGCTTCTGTGGTATTTATATCCCATTATAAAGCTGGTTCCACACAAGCACTGTTATATTTTAGGGCATCTCTGTTTGGTGTTCATGTTGAAGGTCATCATACCAACTTCTAGAGAAGAAATAAATGCCAACCGAAGCAGATGCTGGGGGGGAAAGGGTGATCTCCTGAGTGGTCCCAGGGAAGATAAAATCTGGCATCTTTCAAAAAGGATCAGGCAGGTGTCACCACACCGGTGTCCTCACACAGGCATTAATTCTATATGCCTGATGGGATTCTTACAACTAGAAGCAGGCCAAGAGAGGTGGCATATGCTTGTCATCCTGGTATTCGGGAGGTCAGGGCAGGAGAGTAAGTTCAAGGATAGCCTCATCTACATAGAGAGTTTCAGGCCAGCCTGGGTTATATGGCAAGACCTTTGCCCCATTAATTGATCTTTTACATATTTCTTGTGTCAGAGGCATCCCTCAGTGGAGTAGAAAGAAACAGTGTCATTGAGGGTATCTAACATGGGAGCTAGTATGTAGCCTCGAGCCCCTTGAATGAGAAGGGTATTGGTTCCTGGCTTGCTGACCAACATGGTATGTACTTCCTGAAACAGGCAGAGAGTCTTGGCTCAGATGGCTTGGGTTTGTGGCCAGAAAGGATACCTACCCATGGGCTAGTGAGATGGTTCAGAGGGTAAAGGAACTTAATGCCAAACCTGAAAACTTGAGTTCTATACCTGGGACTCCCATAGTGGAAGGAGAGAACTGACTCCCAGAGTTGTCCTCTGCTTCCACACATGTGCTCGCATTGTACACATAAACATTCCAGCACGCGCACGCATGCACGCGCGCACGCACACACACACACACACACACACACACACACACACACACACACACACACATACACTAAGATATAAGAAAAAAAAGCATGGGCATTAGGATTTCTGTGAGAAATTGCATTTTGTATTTCATTTAGCCAGCCCTGAGTATCTAGCCAGGAAGTGAATTTGTTCTTTTCGATGCTCTTAGACAAAGATGGTCTCCATTCAGATGGACTCAGTACACAATGAGAGACACATGTATTCAGAGGTCTGCATGACAGGTTAGGAGTTGGCAGGTGATGCTGCAACGATAAACGGCACACTTACTGAAAGTAAAACTAAGTATTTATTGTAGAAATTACTCACAAGAGACCAAACAAGTAACCCAGATGAGCCGAGTAGTTTTCCGCCGCCGAACTGGAAGCCGAAAGCCGGAAAAAGAGACCAAGACTTCCGTAGTTCAGTCTTTTATACCTTCCCCTGTAACGCCCCTAGCCATGCCCAAAAGTGGGCCTGGCTAGTGACGTAATTCACTGCCTACGTCCGTATACGTCTTTAGTCATGCCTAAAGTGGGTGTGGTTAGCGGTGTGGTAAACCGCTCTTTTATTACCTCATCTGTATGCGCCTCTAGTAAGTCACATGGCTAATGGCAGCACATGGCTTCCTCCTACAGGCAGGCATTTCTGGAAAGGGTCCCAACTCTCTGTCACTGTGGGTGGAGACATGTAGTAAGTATCTGTTTGTTCAGTTGTGAATTTTCTCCCTGTCCTGTCCCAGCCCCCAGCTCAGCTTTGAATTGCAAATCTTTAACCTGGTAACACAGAAGCATGTTGTCGGATGTGAGATGCTCCCAAAAGACTGCTGTACTGGGCTGGAAAGTTGACTTGGAGAGTTGACTAGTGCTTGCCTAGGCTGGGCTACTAGAATTCCATAAAAGTGGGTGTGGTGACCCATGCCTGTGATCTGGGCACTCAGGAGGTAGGGGTGGGAGGACCAGATATTCAAGGTCATCCTCAGCTAAACCGCAATCTTGAGGTTTAGCTCGAGTTTCACGAGACTTTTCCTAAAACACCACCACCACCATGTAAGGCTTGATTCCCAGCTAATAGCACACTTTTAGTTTCTGGATATTTTAGGAGGCAGTGCCTGTCTGGAGGAAGCAGGTCATGGGGGGCGGGGTAGGTCCTGGGAGTGTGCATTTGGTTATCCTGTCCCTCCCCGAGCCTGTAACTCCCCCTTCCACACACAGAATTTGAGACCTTGCTAGAGATCTCTTACTATGAAACAGTATGGTTCAGTGTCTGCCCCTTCCCCACAGGTGCGGGCCCTTTCTCCGAGAACCTCTTTTTTTTTTTTTTTTTTTTTTTTTTTTGTGAAGACAGGATTTCTCTGTAGTTTTGGAGCCTGTCTTGGAACTCGTTTTGCAGACCAGGCTGGCCTGGAACTCACAGAGATCTGTCTGCCTCTGCCTCCTGAGTACTGGAATTAAAGGCATGTGCTGTTACTATCTGGCTGAGAACCTCTTTTGCGGATGAATGGGAAGGCATGCAGTCATGTTATTGAATTGTGGAAGACAGGCGTTGAGTTCCACGTGCACACTTCCAGGCCTCACCAGCCCTCTGAATCAGTGGGATTCTTGGGGAGGGAGCATTTGGAGTTTGGGAACCATGGACCCAGAACTTTCCTGGAACTTTGTGATGGCATGAAAGGGTCTGAGTGGGCTGGGAGACATGGATGCTTGGCCCATCCCTCCCTCACACCTTCAGGGGATTATGTATGATCTTACCATATACCTGACACTAGTGGCCCTAGGTCCAGAGATGTGAGAAACACAACATGCAAAGCAGATTTTGTGCTGCTTGTGTGTGTGCGTGTGTGTGCACATGCGTGTACACGGGGTCAGAAGTCAACTCTTCAATTGTTTTTCACTGTCCTTTTTGAGGTAGGATCTCTCCACAAACCTGTAGCTCATCAATGGGCTAGTCTGGCTGGCCATCGAGCCTGTAAATCTCTGCCTTCCAGAGCTGGGATTACAGGTGCAGGCTGCATGTCTGACTTCTTTTGCATGGCTGCTGGGGATCTGAACTCAGGTCCTCAAGTTTTTGCAACCCATTGAGCCATCTTTGCTGCATCCAAAGGCCAATTTATTTGTTTATTTATAATCCATTTATTTATTTAATATACATGCCATCTGTGAGCCTGGAAGTCAGAGGACAGCTTGCGGGAGTCGGATCTCTCCTTCCACCACACGGGTTCCATGTATTGAACCCAGGTTGCCAAGGGCTTGTCTCTGCCGAGGCATCTGTCTAGGTCTCTTGTAACCCTTAGAACACAGAACTCAGTGGTGGTTCATCCAGTAACAGGTCGTGCAACCAGCACCTCTGTCCGCTTCCCACCATTTCATCACCCCGAATGAGACCCTATGTCCCCGAAGCTGTCATTCTGTTTTTCCTTCCTTCCAGTCTTCAGCAACACCTATCTGCCTGTTCTGTACAAACTGGCCTACTATGGATATTTCATATACATTGACTCTCATGTTTTTGTCTCTGATTTCTTACACATAGCATGTGAGTTCAAGGATATTGTCGCTGTAGCATGCAT